TTGAAAATGAAAATGTATGCTGTGACAAACTTTGATAAGTAGATCTTGTGAAAGGCTTCTAGAAAAGTTGAAATGTGGAAAAAATGTTTAAAAGCAATCTCATCCTAGTACAGACGCTGTTGAACATAAGCTGAAGAGGTGGTTACCGGTTGAGAAGCACTGAGGCCTGCTAGAAGAGATGTTGGCGCAACACTTGAGGTGGCGCGACACGGCGAGTGCACCATGGTCTGGGGATACATTGCCGCATACGATGGTGTCAGCTGCATATACTGGTACGCGTGATGCTGCTGACGAGGCACAGTTCCTCGAGCAACTGCCGCTACTGCAGCCATACCACCCAACGGCTGCACAGGGGAACTGCTTGGCGAAGTATAATAATGACGGGATGGGGTGCTGTAAAAGGACTCCGCACGGGCACCGAAGTTTTCATTGCGGGTCAGCGATGAGCGAGGAGCATGACGCATAAGAGGACGATGATCAGAGTTCTTTCCCCCTATGGTGTGACGAGCCTAAAACAGGATAAAATGATTGTCGCAAACATCCGCACAAGACCAACGAACTCCCAAAATTTTATCTTTCTGAGTGAGGTCTACTGTACCTGCCAGCATGGCCCACAGTAATAACGGAAACAGGTGCGGTCGCGGCAGAAGTATGGTCCTTGGTTTTCGCCACAGACCATGCACCATGAATCTTCAAGAAATGGGTCAATCTGCACTCTTTTACCTAAGAAAATCTTTCTATAAATCATCAAAAAAGATGTTTGGGACATCACGCTTACTAAATTTGCTGGTTCGTATCTCGAGAAACGCCGATTCTATTGCACGGAAATAGGAAGCATGTGATCGGAAAGTAACTCTACCGCTACCTTAACCAACACTCACGAAGAGATGAGACGTAAGTCGAAGATGGAGAGAGATATTGATTACCAATTGGGTACTTATATTTGTCTGTGTCGATCCCAACAAATACCACATTTCCATACAATTCGTTCATAATTGAAAATAGTACATGTGCCGTCAACATTCCGTGTAAAGCGCCAACGAACACCTGAACTGATCGACACCGCTCAAGAAATAAGATGATGTAGGCATAGTAAAAGGAAAAGTCAAGTAGTCTAAAAAATTACCGTCTTTTTTGGGTCCAAATGACAATTCGGATCATCGTTATAGCAAGAGTCGGACACCACCCATGGGATCACTTGTACCTGGAACGTCCAAAATATAGAGAATAAAGTCTTTTAAAAACTCCAAAATTCCCGCCTGACGAATTTCACTGCTTTGGTTCCGACGTGCTTTTAGCTTAAAATACCACTCCCCAGCAGACCCGAACTCTTGCGAGCAATCTTGTAGGAGCAACCTCACCGACCTTTCAGTCTCAAACACCATATACACATAACCAGTAACCTGCAGCAAGAGAAACTGCTTAGATTTTAAAAATCAGATGTAAACCCTTACCTTGCCACGAGTCTTAGCATTTGAACGTGAGGAACGCACCTCCTTACAGGGCCACTCAACTCGGCAATTACCGTATGGTGAAAAAGCGTCGATAAGTGCTGTCTCTGTGATGTCCCATGGCACTAAAGCTCACTGCGTATGAGCGGTAAAACTATGATGCTTCCGATAAAATTCTAAATCTGACCTCCACCAATAAATATTTTACTTGAAAATGTTGGATTGCTGTAATTACGAGGAGGCAACTCTCCACTCCAGAGGTAGCCAGGACAGAGCTGATCTTCAGAGACAGGCAGTTTCTAATGAAATTATCAGATGTACTCAACAACAAGATGACTAATGAATACTACCTCGTAGTGACTATGCCAATGATTCTGTATGCTGCGATATGAGTAACGATCCTCATATGGCACCTTCGACAAAAAGGCGCAGGAATCTATGAAAGTCTTATTACGTTCAGAAGCTGCAGCTGGAGGTGTTAAGGGTTCAACTGAGCTCGCACATCCTTCTGAAGGAGTGGAAGTGTTGCCATCCTGCAAGGTTGTTGTTATCGTATTTCTGTCACCAACTCAAAATCGCTTGTTATTGAATTTAACAGCGGCACTCTGCAGCAAAGGGCTGCTGCAATTAGAAATCGAGCTGGTGGCACTGCGCTTCCTTTTGAGTTGCCGGAAGACTACCATGCTTGTGAAGAGTGTTTGGAATTCGGATTGTGAAAAGGAGTAGCACTTTTTAAGAATTTAACTTTATAGCAAGTCACCATCACAATATCATTTGTCGAAGCCATTTTACTTTGTAATTTACACACTATCCTGACACTTCTTTGTAAAGGTTAATACATAGTGCTTACAATTTGTAAAGAATCCAGCAATGTCGACCTCGCTATGATGGCGATAGTAGCACCACACATCTGCTCTCGACACATTTAAATTATCGAATAAATTAAACCTGCTTATTCTTGATATTGGTCGCTA